CCAACAAGGAATTGGGATGGACCCATGAGAATGGTAGTCCCAATTAACGGGTTAAACCTCGAGAGAGTAATTACCCAACTTGAACCCTAAGTTGCTTGGGCTTGTTGGCCTACCCAATTGGTCTCGAGAGAGTCAATTGGGCAAAATCACTCTTTCTACCGAGAGGTATGAGAGTGAGTGCAATCGTGCAACGGTTATAGCATAAGCCCCCATAATCATTATTCTTGTATTAGGAATCTCTACCCGTTAGTTGACCACCTAGGTAAATGCCACGACCCTAGTGTCTTTCTCTATCTTGCATACAACCTAGAATTAATATCTTAGCATAATTTAGTTATAATTAGTAGTTGTTAAATTGTAGTTGATAATCATAAAACCCAAAAATGTTAGAAGATCAATTAGAAGCAAAACACGCATTTCTAGGCTAAGCAAATATCCAACTCCCTTCTAGCTCCCTGTGGAAATTGACCCCGATACCACTATTGGGTAAAAGTATTAGCGCCCACTCTTCCTAAGGTTGAGTCCGCTGCGATCAGAGATCCTTAGGGAATTTTGATGCACCTAGACTATGATTTTGTCTATGGAACTGAGACATATGAGACCATTAGAGACTTTGGGAAACCTGGGCCTATTGAAGGCTCCCTATATAATAGCTTCTTGATTTTCTGTTTTTATTTATGTAATTCATTCATTGGTATGTAATAATTTGTAAACAGATATTGGGGTATTTAGTGAAAAGGGGTGGATAGATACATATTTGCTGGGATAATACGGGTAGAAATCCTTCTCGTAGGACTTTACCTTTTCAAGTTTGTTAGTTCTAAATAGAAAACATGCTCTTAGGACTTTACTCTTTGAATCCGATTGCTTTGCCAAATAGAAATCATGTCCATTGGACTTCACCTTTAAGTTTGTTTTCTCGTCAAGTAGAAATCATGTCTATAAGGTTTTACATTCTGTCATGTTTCAGAAACCATGCATATAGGTTCCAAGAAATCATGTCTTAAAATCAGTTCAATAATAGATACCATGCCTATATCACTTAATTCAGATATTGTTATAAGGAGTGCTTCTGTATGTTGCCACATTAGCAAATTGACTAAAATCAGTAATACACCTAGATATCATGCCTATAGGGAATTCTACTCGCAATTTTGTCAGTCAGTCTGATTTAGTCTAATAAGTCACTTGGTCACGCCTGGTTCGTTTTAAATTGATCTTATTAAGTATTAAGCACTTTCTAGAATAAGTTCTTCAAAACTGTCCCAATCTCATTAAATATCATGCCTATAAGTATTAACGGAGCCTATTTCAAAAATTTGTTTGTTTCTGCATTAATATAGGTGTCAGTATCCTGCGTATAGGCAAGCCTCCAGGGCATTTTCAAAAATTGCATTCTCTGAAACCGTCTCAATCGCTTAACGTTTTCTGATCCTAAAAGGCTTTAAAAGGAGCTGTCACACCTCTTTTTTACTACCCGAAAGGTATATAGGAGTTTTTCCAATTTAAGTGACATTATTCGAAATGGGATTATTTTATTTCAATTTTTTCAGAGTCACCACCTGGGATAATTATTTTGGTTTCCCAAGTCACCGGTTTATTTTTAAAATCCCAAATCGAGGAAAAATCGACTTTATTTAAAAGCCTGGGAAACCAGAAATTCTAGATAAGGAATTCTGTTAACCCGGGAGAAGGTGTTAGGTATTTCCGGGTTTCGTGGTTCGAGCACGGTCACTTAAACGATTAATATTGGCCTATTATCTGATTAATACATGTTTTAAACCTAGTGCATTTTAACTTTATAACCGCTTTTATTTACTTAAACCGCTTTTAGGATTTACAGAATTATTTCTTGAACAAGTTACGATTGTCGTTCACTTGCCGTTTTGGAACACACCGCAAACCACGCTACATGAAATGCACCCGCGATTCGCAACATGTTTATTTTATTAGTATTCAAAGTTGTTATGATCCGGTCACATGAAATGCACACCTGAATTGGGGATTACGTATTGAGACTATGCCACGGGAGCCGTACCCATAATCACGATAATTTATTATGACACGCGCCTAAAGCAAACTACGAAATTTTCAAAGTGTTTTCTACACTAGTTGGTATTAAGCTTCCTCATAGTTAACCTCAATAAATCACTCAATGAAAAATGATTTTTTATCATATTCTCTTATTAATAGTAAAGAATTAGCCTGTCAAAATAAGAATCAAAATAGGCAGACAACATAGCGAAAAGAACAAGGGGAGCAAGAAAACCAAATTCAAGTGTTTCTATGCAAATCACAATACATCTAGGAACTATAATCTGTTTCTTAAACTGAATCTATGAAGAAAATGACAAAGTGTACCTCATAAAAAATCTTCTAGTTCCCGCGGTTCCACAAGAATATAGAGAGGCTTTCCCTTTAGCATGCTTTGACCCTTGACCTCTAGTACTCCGATAACGCAACCACATTCAACCACTTCATCTCCCATCCGTTCTAGAAGTTTAATTGTAGCAGATAGCGTTCCACCGGTAGCTACCAAATCGTTAAGTATGACTGCTTTGTCCCCTTGCTGTAAAACTCCAACATGCATCTCCAAACAATCTTTCCCATACTCCATTTCATATGATTCTGCAATTACCTTACCTGGTAATTTTCTTGGCTTGCGTAAAGGAACAAACTTTGCACCAATGGCTAGAGCTACAGATGGACCAAACATGGACTCTCTAGCTTCAATCCCAGCAACAACAGAGATGTCCATGTCTTTGTACCTGTAAGCAAATTTATATGCACAGCGAATCGGTATAGCAGAAAAACAACAACAATTTCCTTTGAAGGCCCAGATTTTTGGAAGATCGTCTCCTTTTCAGATCTGAAGTTGCTTTTCAATTAATAAAAATTCAGCAATTATGACAACTGAAAATCGAACTTTCAATTGATGAAATTTTCAGTAGTACACGGACAGAAATCGAGCGAACGCTCTATAATATCCAAAATTTCTGTCATTTGTGCAATGAGAATAAATGATGATTCCGGATCTCGACGGCAACGAACTCGAACACCTTCAAACTCGATCAAATCCCATAATTTGAAAACAAAATTTCGAACTAAAAGGGAAAAAACAGAAGATGTATCTTTGTCTAAACTTCTCAATCAAATGTGAAAACTAAAACTTAGATTAAGAATATATTTGCTGGATTTTTCTTTTGAAATCTAGGCCTCAGGGATCCCTACCATACATACTCATTTTGGGTACTCAATATAGAGCTGAAAGAAGACACCCACAAACTCAAAACATGCAAATTTTGTATCCTTTTTCTAAGATTCAGAAAATGCTCGAGCTGGAGTAGTCTTTATCGACTTTTATTCAACTAAGGACCCGAATTTAGACCAAGAATTGTATCTGTGTCTCTGGGTGTGCTGAAGGAGAAAGGGGTCGTTGGTTTCAGGGGTTTGGTATTGGAATTGGGCTGGGGTTTAAAATTAGTTTGGGCCATTTTAGGAATTCGCCCAATTTTAAAGAAACAAGACCAAAAAAATAATCTTCCTAATTTCCCTTTCTTTGTTTTTTTCTTTTTCTTTTCTTTAATTAATTAAAATCCTAAATTAATCTATTTTTTGTAGAAATTAAAAATTCTTTATTTATTTTTAACATTAAAATAACTAATTAACTTAAAACTAAAGAAAAATGCTAATTTTAAAGGCTAAAATCTAAATATGTAAAAATGACTATTTTTTGTGATTTTTTGCTAAGTAAAATTAATTTCTACATGCAAATTGAACCTAAGATGGTACAAAATTAAAACATGGCAATCTTTATGATTTTTTCTATGATTTTAAAATATTAAAAATGCATGAAATGCAACTAAATAAAGAAAAACTCCTAAAAATCAATTAAAATTATTTTGGTCTATTATTTAGGAGTTATTTTCATGTAGGGCAAAAATTAGGTGCTCACAGCTGCCCCTCTTTGCTCGGAAACATGAAGAGTTTTCGGGCAAAGATAAAGTGAGCAAATACGAGCAATGTTTGCCCGTTTGAAACTCCATTTGGAAGCATTTTAAAAAAATTTGACCGAACCTTGCTTCAGAGGTTGCCTACATATCCTTGGCTATAAAGGAATCAGGTCGGTGTAGTTTTGGAAGTTTTGGTAGCTGGGACTACCGAGAAGCTGTGATTTCACTGTTGTTGTTGTTGTTTCTGCTTGCTGAGCTCCTTATTACACTAACATGAAAAACAAAAGCTAAACTAGCTAAGCCTATCAACTACGAGGTACAAGAGTCCTATCTATGAGACTTCTGACGCTTGATCTTGAGCTTGGTTGGTTCTTCATGTGGACTCTGATCTAAATCTTGATGCTTGTTAGCTGCAGGTGCTGGTTCTTTCCTTTTTCAACTTCTCGGATCAAGGCGGTCGTGCAAAGCTTGTGACTTCAATCACGTCTTGAGCAGTCCACATCTTTTCTCCGCTTTTGCACTTTGAGTTCACTTCTTTTCTTTTTCTTCTTTTTCCTTTATTATGGATTGAGACTCATTCTTTTGGTCGTCTCGAACCCTTTGCCTCGAGGTAAAACCTGCTCAGACACCAAAACAAACAAACGAACGAAATTTTTCTGCCCCAGTTTTCATTAGGAAAATTTCGTGAGTTATTGCAACAAAATCAAAGCTATTTATTTATTGAAAGCAATAAAATCGGGATTGTGTATCTCTGAGAGAGAAAAAAAGATTAGGGAGTGGAGACCCTATATCTAAAATAACTTCAACTAGAGAGTGGAGACCCTATATTGGAAAAGAGACTAGGGAGTGGAGACCCTATGTTGGAAAAATGACTAGGGAGTGGAGACCCTGTGTCTAAAATAAAATCAACTAGGGAGTGGAGACCCTATGTTGGAAAAGCGACTAGGGAGTGGAGACCCTATGTCTAAAATAACTTCAACTAGGGAGTGGAGACCCTATGTTGGCAAAGCGACTAGGGTGTGGAAACCCTATGTCTAAAATAACTTCAACTAGGGAGTGGAGACCCTATGTTGGAAAAGCAGACTAGGGAGTGGAGACCCTATGTCTAAAAAAAAATCAACTAGGGAGTGGAGACCCTATGTTGGAAAACGACGTACTAGGAGGTGGAGACCGTACTGTCTAATAAGTACACTAGGAGTGCGAGCCTATGTGT